AACCACATATAGGTGAGGGGTTAGCTACTTTTTTGGGTAGGGAAAGCGAGCAAGCACCACAGAAGTGCCATTCATTGAGTCAGTTAGCAGCGGAAGCGCACCCTGTAGTACTTCCGTCTGTGATGGGCAGTTGTCGGTCAAGGAACCACAGCCTGTTGAGGTTTCCTCTGGAAAACCTCCATTCAGTAAAGGTAAACCGGGTGAGAGCGGTCAATGTACATAGGACAGGCAGGAGAGTGTGACAATTATGGTAAGGAATATTTGTAGGTCAGTATGTGACAAACTTTAAGATCCGAAATGTGTTGAAAGTGTAAATATCTATGATATAATTTGTCTATATGAGTGCTAGGTTAAACCGGACGAAGATATATCACTGCCTGGTTATTTTATATATTCATTTCCTCGTATCAATGCAAAAGGGGTGGGATTATAATTTGTGTTAAAGATGGATTGAGTGAAAGTTGTACATTTGTTGAAAATGTTTTAGATTGCATTGTAATTTTGAAGTTGAAATGCATTGGCGAAATTGAGACTAAACATGATACTTATATATTTGCATGTTACTTCCCACATAAAAAATGATATAGATCCATTCATATGTCTAGAAGAATGTGTATCTAAATACCATACACATGGTGATATCGTTGTCATGGGTGATTTTAATAGAAGAACTGGTGAGGCTGATGATTTTATTAGATTTGATCGCATAGGAGAATTTTCTGCTGATATGTTATCAAATATTTTTAATTATATATACCAGATGTAAAGATGCCCAAACGGTTTAACGTAGATAAACATGTAAATCAGTCTGGTAGACAGTTATTAGATGTTTGTAAAACAACCTGTCTTAGAATTGTTAATGGTAGACCTCCTGGTATCCTAAGGGAGATATGACAGTCTATAATAGAAACGGAACTAGTCTTATTGATTATGTTTAAGTTCAAGACAATAAGGGTAGATTTTATCAAAACATTGAAGACAGGTGAGTTTAGTCCCTTTTCTGATCACGCACCGGTTACTTTTTCATTGTGTAATAATTGTAAAGGAGTTGAAAATGAAAAACAAAGTCATAATTTAAATGACAAGAGACAAACAAGTATAAGATGGAATGAAGACCGGTTACTTTTTCATTGTGTAATAATTGTAAAGGAGTTGAAAATGAAAAACTAAGTAACAATTCAAATGACAAGAGACAAACAAGTATAAGATGGAATGAAGAAAATAATAATACAATTTGTGAGTTATTGCTAGAAAACATTGATAGGCTAATACAGTCATGTGATACTACTGAATGTGACCAAGAAGGAATTGATGCATGTGTTAACAATTTTACAAGTATTTTAAATCAGTTAATTGTTCCTTATTGTACCCAAACAACCATACATAAAGGCACAGGTAAGCAGACTAATGCTATCAAGGGAGATAAGCCATGGTTTACGGATTCCTGTAAACAACGATATAGAGATTATAAATATGCATTGTATACTTTTAATGTTTGTAAATCTAATGTGAATAGAGAATCACTAGTAAATAAAAAAATGTATAAGAAACTTGAATATAAGTTAAAAAGAGAGTATAAATGTCAGCAATGAGACATGTTAAATTATTTAAGAAAGTACAACCCGCGAACTTTTTACAAAACGTTAAGGAAACGTAAACAAAATTTAAATGTGGATTTAAATGTAGAAGATTTTTACCATCACTTTTATTCATTGGGATCTGGTGAGCACGCGATAGACAGGGATATATCCGACTTTTATAATGATTATGACGTGAAGTCGGAGGATCTACTTCCTCATGAACTAGATATAGAAATAACTGAGATGGAGATTCTGGCTGCTATTAAAAAACTTAAAGCTAACAAAGCTTGTGGACAAGATGGAATTTCTAATGAATATTTTATTATTTGCAAAGATATTTTAATGCCATGTTTATTGTTATTTGGTAATATAGTTCCTGTTTTTAAAAAAGGTGACATTAATATCGGACAACTATAGAGGTATCACCTTGTTAAGTTGTGCTGGTAAACTTTTTACTGCTATCGTTTGAAATGAGATATAATAAAGTAACAGACGCCCAGTTTGGATTAAGAAAAAACGCTTCTACTATAGACGCCATTTTCGCTTTACAATCTTTAATTAATCGTACTTTAAAAAAGAAAAAACGTCTCTAATGTTGTTTTATAGATTATACAAAAGCGTTTGATTTTATTAACAGACAGAATTTATGGTATAAAATGATCAAAGAAGGTGTAGAAGGTAAACTTCTTAAAGTGATCAGATCATTATATAAAAGCGTGAAATGTTGTGTTAAATATAATGGTACTCTCTCCGAATTTTTTATATTGAAAACGGATTATTTCAGGGGGAAATATTATCACCCCTTTTGTTTGCTATATATGTAAATGATTGTGAAAAGCAGTTTTTATCAGATAATTCTCCATCTATTGAAATACAGGATATCAATATGTTTTTACTTATGTATGCAGATGATATGGCGATTATATCTGAAACACCAGAGGGTTTGCAAACAATGTTAGACTCTCTTGCAAATTATACCAAAAAATGGGATTTGACCGTAAATACTGGGAAAACAAAAATTGTCGTGTTAAGAAATGGAGGGATATTAAGGGGAAATGCAATATGGTTTTACGAAGGAAATAAATTGGATGGTGTCGATCAATTCAATAACCTTGGTGTACTATTGAATTTTAACGGAAAATTTAGACAAACTCAAAAGCATGTTGCTGACCAGGGGAGAAAAGCTTTGTTTGCATTTTTAAATGTTTGTAAGGAAAATTATTTTAATATAGAAACTCAATTGTCTGTATTTGATACTTATGTAAATAGTGTTTTCAGTTATGGAGCAGAAGTATGGGATTCCATGCCGCACCAGATGTCGAAAAATTGCATGTGAGATTCTGCAAACAAATATTAGGATTACATAAAAAAAACTAGTAATGTTATGGTGTATTATGAACTTGGAAGATATCCCATGAAAATAGTTAGAAAATTACGAATATTCAAATATTGGATAAAACTATCCAAAAATGTAGGAAATTGTATTCTAAGGTCATGCTATGATGATATGCTTTGTAATAATGACATTTGGTTATTGAGTGTAAAACAAGAATTATACAGGATTGGTCTTGGAAATGTATGGGAATCCTCCAGTTTAAATAATAACACGTTTCATATTATAAAAGAACGTCTTTGTGACATATTCAGACAAGAATGTTTTGAAAAAAATCTATCTTCTTCTAAAGGAGCATTGTATCAATATGTGTGTAATTTTGGTCACCAGTATTATTTTTCAAACCCTGTAAATATAAATCATTTAAAACAAATATGTAAAATTCGAATTTCTGCACATAAGTTAAATATTGAGTGTGGCAGATATAATAGAGCTGAAAGACAAAACGGATTGTGTACAGTATGTGACCCGAATAATGTCGAGGATGAGTTCCATTTCATTTTAAAATGTCCTTGCTATATTGATATAAGGTTGAAACTTATTAAGAAATATTATGTAAGACATACAAGCATGTATAAATCAATTCAACTGTTACTTGTGAGAATTTATCCGACATTTGAAATCTTGGCAAATTTTTAATACAAGCAAACAAAAGGAGATCTGAGCTGATTGCTGGTTAGTGTTCACTCTCCACGGTGTGTGTGTATGTGCGTGTGTATCATATTGTATGTTGTCTCTGTATTGTTTTGTATATATATGTTATATTTGATAAGTCAACCGACTTAAAGCAATAAAGAACTTGAACTTGAACCCTACAGATGTCGTTGGCATCGACAAAAATATTAGCACAAATGAAATGTTTGCTTTTTTAAATAGTTATTTGAAAAATCTGGTAGATTACCAGTAAAAAAAATGTTTAGCTTCGGTACTCTAAGAGTCGGATGTTTCGATTAAAAATAAATCAAGTGGATTTTTTTGGTGTAGGTAAATCTTGTACGCCGCTCCCGGACTAAAACTCTTTACCAGGAATATTAAGATACTTCAATATCTCGTTAACGCGATCGTTTATTTATATTTTTTTATAAAATTATACAATAATTTCAAACATTATTTTCTAAATGTGTAATTTTTATTTTTATTTTTTATTATCTCATTATTTAGAAATTGACGATGATGTGTATTTCAAGGGGGTAAAACTTGTACGCCGCAGTCAACCGTGAAAATCACGGTTTTTCATATATAATTAGATATTTAGAGAAAAATAACTTGTTGTTTTCAGGTAGAACAAAATACCCTACTGTTTATAATTATGTAAGTTTGGTTGCAATAAACGACATATTTCACATGGAATTACAATTTTTTTCTAATGATAACCAATGCAATCATAATGATGTTCATGAATTCTTATTTTGTGTACTATTATTAATCTTATATATACATGTATATAGTTTTTAAAAAATGGGCTCTTATGTAGCGTCGCAGAGCGCTAGCCTGGTAACATTCCAATAGAATGGCTAAGAGTGACATAGCTTGACAGAGTGATGTCCCCTTAGCACGGGTCGGGAGTGAACAAAACACCCGCGATCACAACAAAGTCAGAATTTCATGTGAAATAGGTCGTTTATTTCAACGAAACTTACATAATTATAAACAGTAAGGTATTTCATTCTATATATATGAAAATGACATGTAAATTTTCGCTCAATATCTAATTATATATGAAAAACCGTGATTTTCACGGTTGACTGCGGCGTACAAGTTTTACCCCCTTGAACTACATATTATCGTCAATTTCAAAATTACTAGATAATAAATAGACATTTTTGTAACTGTCACATTTAGAAAATAATGTTTAAAATTATTGTATAATTTTATATAAAAAAATATAAATGATCGCGTAAATGAGATATTAAAATATCTCTATATGCTTGGTACGGGGTTTTGGGACGTGAGCGGGAGCGGCGTACAAGATTTACCTACCACATTTTTTTTCTATGTGGGCTCTCGTGCGTTTGGCGAGAGGCGTAAATTAGTAAGGTCGTCCAAGGAAAAACCCAGTACACATGCGTAAACAAATCCAGGCTTTAAACTTCCTGGTGCTTTACATCCTGCTAGACAGGTGTAACTACAGGTAAATGTTCTCTATTTATCACAACTTGTATGTTTGTTCAGTAAATGTATATGCATTTAAGGTAGGTTAATCATGCTTAGATAGAAATACTGTGTCGAAGACCCGAGACAAAATCTGTGAATTGCAGATATATGAAACGTTCAACAATGTTTTGGTCAGTTGGTTTCAGTTTGATTTGACGCAGTCGCATAAACCATTTTTCATTAGACATGCTAAAATGCCAATTAAACTGTCTGTTTGTAATTATATCCTGATGTTTTACTTATTTGAGAAAGCATTGCCTCTACCTACATTGCTATCTTTATGATTGTTGACACGAGGAAGAAGATTGCCCAGTAGCGCAGGTATACGTATCTGACAAAGTATGTAAATTATTTACAACATGTCTTGAATAAAAAAATGGTTTATTGTAATTTCTCGTGCTGTACATATTAACTATGATATCATAGATTCCCTTGCCTTTGACAACAATATATATAACGGTAAATGTGCATGCCTACCTGTAGTACCAGGGACCAGAATACTGATATCGACACATGATTTCATGTCGTTCAACGACACAGTTGTTGGGTTTTCCATTTTCATTACCTACCCACTGTAGGTTTTGGACATGAGTGCTACCCCACAGACGTATATACTGGCTTTATATGTCTCTGGCTACTCTGACCTCCCCCCCCNTGCAAAGATTTGTTTCCTTGGAGTAAATAACTGAACAATTTTAGGAGAAGGAGGATTGATGGTTCTAGCATGTATCTATTTTATTTAGTCCAGTTTAAACATGATATGAAAAAAATTTATACCAATGGTATGGTATGTGCATTGTAAATTGCAGACGTTCATAATAATGAAATGGGCTACGGAGATGGTGGACGTGACCTCGTCGGTTGATTCGTAGCTTACCCACCTTGTCACAATGCAGCAGGAGGAGGTAATACCCAGCAAGCCTTACTACTTTGCTAACTTCAGGAACACCACTGAGGTAAGGTTAACTCATTCACCACTTAAAGTTCATAATGAACTATTCCAACCATTGTATTGGAAGGGTTCAAATGTGTCTTCAGGGGTAAATGAGTGTTATAGGAAAAAATCATTTGTAAAAGATGCGTCAGCTGTAGGGAATTTCCCTTTAGCTTAGCTGTAGCTGGAGAGCCAAGGGTTGCAGGTTCGAGCCCCAGCGACGGCACTATCTTTATCACTATTACTTGTCCTATTACACATTTATCATGTAAGAAATCAAGTAAATTCCTGATAATTGATTTCCAGAGTAAAACTGCTATTGTAACATGCGAGGTATTTAATACTTTTAGGAAATTTATCCCTTTAAAGTGTGAATGACATACTGGCTATCCAATAAAGTCTGCTGGATAACCAAACTACTCGGTAGTGAAGCGGATGTAAAACCAATCAATCAATCATGATTTACCTTTATTTGAGGTGCACATGTCAGGCAGATGTGAATATCAAGGCTTCTGTAGCTGGTTAAAACATACATGTGCAGCTCTATTTTTGTTTCTATAGGTAGTGTTTGCACTGTCGATGCAACCAACCTCAAGTACTCGACTGAATTTATCGAATATGTAGGTATATTGCATAGGGGTCACAGTTGAGTTTACTCTGTGTAAAAAAAGGAATGGACAAAACATGTTAAACAGCATAATTTTCACCAGGGGTCTGTTCATTTATGCAGAACAACCGGTTTGACAGTAATAAATGTAACAATTTCGGGTATAAATCCTGGCGGACCTGCAAATATTTAGGCAGGCCTTGCAAGGCTTTGTCAAGGCTCGCCTGAAAGCAGCATCAGATTACTAGGTCCGGTCGTAATTAATAAACGAACAACTGTGGTCCGACCGGTTTAACCGTTTAAACAAAAACGGCCCAGTTGACGTAATGAGTGGCAAGGGAGATTACTCTCAGTCACACAAAGGCTGACATAGTCACGATTTTCAAAGTAAGCACGGAGATCCAGTCATTATGAAATATTGACCAGAAGATGGTTAACAATGAACAAAGAGGGAATTCGGGGTGTCACAATACTCCAAGAGTGTATCACAATATATTGCAATACAAAATTAATACCGGTATTCCGTCTTTGCGTATTGCAGAGTTATCCTTTCTTGAGAGCAGGAATTGATTGTAACGTCATTTGTTTGTGAGAGTAACGTCATCAATTTTTGAGAAAACGACGTAATTTTCTCACACAAACCAATGACTTAACAATCAATACCTGCTCCCAAGAGAAGATAACTCTGTACTACGGAAAGACAGAATATTGCGATACGTATCCCGATATATTGTCATAGGAAGGATGTGCACAATTTTATAATAAATTGTTATAATATAGATTACATAGATTTAAGATTTTTGTTAAACTAACCATCGATTACACAATTTGAACTATTAAAAGCCTGTTTTATGCTTATTGGCATATCTTTTAGAATTTGTAGCAAGTTGTAAAGTTAAACCATCAAGCAGATACATAAAAATATGCTTTTGAAAAATATTGCGATACAGCAATATTTCATCTCTGTATTGTGGTACGATATGATATACCCATGTATTGCGATATACCTGTTTTCCAATATATTGTGACAGCCCTACGGGGGAATACACATGTAAAATAAATCATAACTTTACTTAACTGTATAGGAATCACACATGTATAACAATTACATATATATTACGAATGAACTGTATAGGAAGCTGGGTAATTTTTCAATAAATTGTGTAACGTTAATATTTTAATTCAGGTTTTTAGGTTCGGTAGCAATATATTTGAACAGATTGAGTAATGTCACCATATGTTCCATTGTTCTAGGTTGCAGAGTTTCTGAAGCTGAAGTCGAAGGGTATAGCAGGGATGTATCTGGTGCGACCAAGCTTTAAGAACCCTCAGAACCTCACAGTGTCTGTAGTGTAAGCATTTTATTTTCTTATGTCAGTACTGTAAGTCCCAGAACCTCATTGTGTTTTTTTGCTGAACTGTCAGTACTTGTAAATATATTCAGTGATAAATTATTGTAGAATACTTTCAGCCCCAGAACGCCACGGTGTAGTGCTAGACTGCTATCAAGCCTCAACCTCGATGTCTAGGGGTTGCGCTCATTTTCACTCTCTACACCCCTGGAATATGTGGTAGCAAGCTGAGCAAGGTTGATGAGACAAGGTGACTAGTTTGATCCTTTGATGTACATCAAAAGAATCTCATGGTCACGTAATGGTATAAATTGAGAGGCTTTGAAGTCAGGTGCCTCTCCTTTGTTATCTTCAAAGGACAGGTATCAGCCTAGCGATTGGTCAGTTTTTTTGGAACTCGGACCAATCAAACAGCTATCTTCATACCTTCAATTTTGCTATGACATATTCCAGGCATGCAGAGAGCGTAAGTGAACGTAACCCCTGGATATCGAGGACGGTCAAGCTTATGTTAACATATTTATGTATCAACTAGTCACATGAGAGTGAAGGGAATAATAAAGATGTGGTTGTTTGTATTGCAGTGTCAAGGATAGGACAATTCGACATACTAATATTATAGTGGACAAAAGTGGCAGCTGTCGTACCTACTACCTTGTGAAGGAAAAGCAGTTTTGCAATTTGCAAGATCTGCTGGACTATTACAGAACAAACGATGTTAAGAATCTGGAGAAGGTCAATCATGTACGGTTCCTGAACCCTGTGTTGCGTTCCACCAGAGGGAGCATTCCTGACGACAGTTCCTCCAACTCAAGCTGTACATTTCATCCTCCGTTTACTGTTGCACCTCCCCCTCCTGACAGGCCCCCACTCCCAGAACGCCCAACAACTCTTCAACGTCGCCATGGTAGTGGCAGCAGCCAGTCCTCTTTGTTGAGTGCAACTTCCTCAATGCAAGCAATGTCCCCGATAGGATACCATGCAGGCTTTTCACAGGATTCTCCGAAAGGGTTCTTCCCCGACACAGTTTTTCCTTCCTCCCCAGGTACGGCTGATGACCGCCCGCCAGCCCCTCTTCCTGGAGGTCACAGGACAGGGGGTCTGTATTACTCTACACCCAGGAATGTTGAGGAGGATATCAGTGAGAGATTGAAAGAAGTGTTAAAGCAGAATGACCGCTGTGACTGTGGAATTCCTCGCGAAATGGCTGACATGCCTTTAGGTTGGACTGTACACAAAAGTAAAGATCCAGGTACTTATGGTAGACTGTTTTATCAAAATGTCCAAGGTGTCACAACTTGGAAGATCCCTGCTGAGGTTCAGGAAAATATGACAGTGCAGCAAAATTACAATATCAGAACTCTTACTGAAATGTTTTCAAACCAGCGGTCTCGGCCTGGTTTTCAGTCGTACCTTGAGTCGCCTTCCAACTCCACAGCAAGTGACATGAGCGACTTCAGGCCAGACGCAAGTCGCAGAAGCAACATTGCTGTGTTTAATGGTCAGAATCCAAACACAAACTCAACAAAATTCTAATGATACTCCATGTATTTATTTTATGTTTGAAACTTAAGATACGTTAAAAGTGTCCTTAATGTGATGTTTAACCACTTTTGTTTGCCCTTGTTGCCCCTGTACAGAGAATAATGTTACCTTGATAGTGAACAGTAGTACACAGGTTGCTACGTAAGTATTTTTACTGTGACCGATGGTTTAAACACTAGAGGAATAGACTTAACTGGTGAAGGGAAAATATTTTGTGGTGCCAAAATTCCCCGTTATACAATTAAACCAGTAATACTTTAGCATGTTATGTCCTAGAGCTTGTGTTACACGGAAGATAAACCAGTTGTACACAGTCTAGTATTATGAGTTCTGACAAAATGTTCAAGGATATTCATAATCAACTTCTCATTTCTCATTCTCTTTGTCAAGTTGATGATAAGAATTCACGTGAACATCCATCTGTTGGCTGGTTTCTGCTATCTGTTTATAATCGGTTAACAGTCCATTGCAGTATCTATCAGGTATAGACACTGTACATGTAAGTGTATGTCTGATGTCTTCTTGTGTGTCTGATGTCTTTTGGACATCGTAGCAGTGTCATCGTTACCACTACACTTTGATTATATACAGTGTGAGTGTTTGTTAGGCATTTGCTAGAATGTTTTTCAAGCCAATTTTTGGAGACAAATCAAAGATGTTGTTATCAGCCTTGTTGTACTGCCAGCCTATTTTCAGTATCTATAGGAAAATTATGAAGAAAAAGAAGAAAACTGGTACCTTGATAACTGTTGTTGATAAGGGAGGTGGCAAATAAAATGAAGGACAAAGTCAAGGTTTACTTTCTGCCAGTGGATTATATCATACTGATGCAAGTACATATTCAGCGGGTTTTTCGGCCAACCAAAACCTTTAGAAATTTCGTCATAATGTTGATGTAGAAAAAAAATAGCAATTCAAATTTGGGGGTCTACTAGATGCTAGAAATCTTTTTATTTAAGCAGACATATACTTATTATTCTAGCAATATCTAAATACCCACAATTTCACTAGTTCAATCCATAAAGGTTTGTGTTTTATTTAATTATTATTAATGCTTATCATAGCTGCAGTGATCTAGGCCCACCATATCCCTGCCGTTTGCTCATTAGCTCAAATTGTGAATATTAAACATGTATAAAAATAACTCGCTATATGGTAATTTCTTTTGCCAACAAGTGCATTAATGCCAATTAATGTCTCCACAATGAAATATTAAACTCGCCCCTGTAAGTAGGCAGGATAATGTTGTCTCAACTGTATTTGTATTGATTTGTTTTTGTGTGAGGCTTATGACTTTAGAATTCAAGCTGTGTTTTCTTTTAGAAAATAGGAAAGATCATATCAAAGAAAATACATTGCAGGTAGACTCTGGTTCAGATTCTTTATAAGCTGATAGTCATATGAGTCGAAGGTGAAGAACAATTTAGATAAGTCTACCGAGAACATGAAAAAGAACTACAGCAGCAGGGCCAATGTAACTAGAAGCAAGTAGGAGCACACATATCTTGTTTCTTTTGACTCTTATCAAACACAAAAATTGCGTTCTAAACAAAAATTACATTGATTGTAAGGACAATCGTAAGTAAAATACTGATTTTTTGCATACCATGTATTTTTATGTATGTTGAAAAACATATATTTATCATAAATTGTCGCAAAGTACTTATCTCCCACCATACTGACCTATATATGTGTGAACTTGAATATGTATGTGATTGAAGACAATTACAGTTTTTTTTATATATTCTATTGCATTGATTTGCTTGAACTTTTATAAACTTGGCTCAAGTATTTGCTTGGTAGGACCTAATATTCATACATCACAGATTCACAACTATTGGTGAAGAGATGAAATGCATTGCCAGTACTCATAGAACATATGTGCCAATGTGACAGTGATAGTGTCAGATGTGTATATATAATTATCCAACATGCAATGCTTCACATGCAAGTACTAATTATATAAAGTGACATGGTTTGGAGAACCTAGAGATACTAATACATGTATATATAGATGTTTACTGAATCATTTGTAAAGCTGTTTTTCTTACCCTGGACATGGTATCCATGTGTTTTTCCGGTGTGGCCTTTCCTTTTTCAACCCTAGAGACATCCTGCATGTTTTTTATGATGGCATAAGATAAACATTTGAACGACGTCGCGTTTGACAATCACATGACGTCATTTTATAGCTTGGCGCTTGGTGTAAGGCATTACTTTTACTGATTCAAAGGCTTTTTAGTTTTATTAATTCCCCACCTTTGGGTTAGAGAAATAGAATAATTTACTTGATGGGGAGTTAGATGGGCAAACCTCAATCCTCTGTGAAAGATTCTCATCTCATTCACCCCTGAAGACACATTTGAACTCCTCCAATTCAAAGGTTGGAATTGTTCGTTATGAAATTTCAGGGGTGAATCAGTTAAATCATCCAACCTTAGACAATCCTCAGGTTTGACAGTTTAAGAATATAAACCTCCATGTTTAGACTTGCACATCTCATCCTTAGAGACCTGTCTGTTATTTGTGTCCGACATGTCAATGCATCCAGGTGGGGTTATATAACTCACACCTGGATGTACTACTGTCATAAACTTGTTGCTACATGTATAAGGATTTTCATTACATACCTTTTGCACCCTGTTAGTGAGGTGGCATGCAACATGTCAGACAGGAAAAACATTCAGTGTCGTATTTTACTAAACATTTATAATCCCCCTTGAAAAAAGAGAATTATACTCGGAGCTTAACTCTCAGATACAAGATTCAAAGGAACAGTGTTTGCTATGCATACAATGAACTTTTTTTTAAAGCTGGTCTGATATGTCTTGTGATTTTTTACAGTATAAAGTATTAATTGAAAAATATATCCAATCATTTTGTTATCAAGTCTTTAGCTTGGTTAGTTGTCTGTTTCAAAATCAGACTACAGTTTGGGTAAACACATGTATAACCCGGATGCAGTTTACTGTTATACTTTCATTCCTAGTAGTGAATAATCCTGTTTTACATATTTAATTTATCATAAGTGAACCTTGTACATAGACTTATTGTTTTTTTTGCATATTATATATATATATATTATTGACATATACATTAAAGGAAACTGTTCATGTGTGGCTAATAACATGGTCAGTCTACTCTCTGTGATATATAAATATGAGCTGGAAAATATACGTAACCAAATACGATTTCGGGGACATGGGAAATATGTTGTGAAATGATGGTTGTTATATAGCTTGTCACTTACAAGGAACCGTGAGTTTATACGTCAGTGTCAACAGCCCACCATAAATCTTTCGTTTTTTTTGTGGGGAAGATTATGAAATGCTTCCAGACTCGATATGAATGCATCCCACACACTGTCTGTTTTGAAAATGTGTTCATTTGGGGTTTAGTGTAATAAAAAGACAATAATACATGGTAACTTTTGTGAATTGTATCACAAAAGATTTTTGGGAAATCTTTAAAATTCTTCCAGCTACACACTTCCTCTTTGATCTTCCATCTTTTTGGTGTCTAGGTAAGATATGTCAATAAAATGGTGTAATTTTTTGTTTAGAATTTTTTCCAAATTTAATATGTTTTGGACATTTTTGTGCATCCTAACTGACTTTTGAGATTTTTTGATATATTTTAATTGATTCAAACTCGACATTCACCGGAGCATTTTTGTATACGCATTATTATTTTTATTAATAATTCCTATCATGCCGATACATTTATTTTCACAAGAATCATTCCATTTTTTATGCACAGTGAACTAGTATTTTATTTGCTCTGCTTATTTTACTTGCAATTTATATATAGGTTTACTTGTACATTGACTTGACACTACATGTACTTAATATGCAACCTACATTATAATAACAATAATAATGATTTCAGGTTCTTATATACCACTTTATCACAACCTAGTTCGTAGATTGCTGCCCCAACCACTTACTCATTACTTACAGCTGAGTAGACTGGAACAAGCGGAGTAAAGTATCTTGCTCAAAGCGACTTTAGAGTGACTTATGTTAGCTAGATAGGGGGCAATATCAAATGTTGTATATTATTATTTATTTTATTAAGATACAACACAGTGCCGTGCCGTGACTCGAACAAGCAACCCTTCGGTCACGAGCCTGGCATCCTACCACTAGACTGCAGTGCCTCCTCAAAAATGGTTTTGAAACAACGTTTAGCTATGGCCAGTGAGCCATTCAATATTTTATTACCAGTTTGCCAGACAATAAACTGCAAAAAAGAGTTTTATCGTAGACTCACATTTTGCTGTACACTTAGTTGTGTTAAAGGCAAGTTTACAATGGTTGTAAAGATGTATTTGTTTACACATTTATCACATGCCATCCCTGTTATCAATGTCAGAACACCCATCACATAGGTTGTGTTATTTAGACATGTTTGATTTAGAACAACTTGTTAATCTTTATGTGGCAAGAAATTACCATTGTCTTAATTGTGACATCATGACTAGGTCATGACTAGGTCATGACTTTATCTCGACTGAGTTAGAATTGCTTCTAAATGTTTATATATTTAAATTGTAGGTTTTAAGTCAGCTTGAGAAAATGTAGCATTCATGCATATAAAATATAGAGCAATGAACCTTTTTTTATTTGTAATAAACAGAATTAACATACAAATGTAAGTTTCCAATTCCATGTGAGATTTATAAATCTCGTCACGAGTTTTGGTTTTAGCTCGCTAGAGGCTAGCTAAATAAAAAAAACTCTCAAAATCGTTTAATTATTCTCATATGATCCTCTATATATGTGTTTTATCAATTTTCATTGTATGGAATTGTTATTGTATACTGATTATAATACATAAACATATAAATAATTTTAATAAAAAAGTACTCATTGTTTTTTGTGTTAAATTCTGGCCGAACATTTGATCACTGCTAATTTGTTAATAATTATGTTGATTTTATGAACTGTAATTGTGTAATGACATTTAAACAGTGATCTTAAATACATATGGGCTATCCTCATAATTAGTTGTTAATTCATATATGTTTCAATGTCACTGTTATGTTATGAGAATCCATTAGGGCAGGATGGAGAATACTGGAATCGGGTTGTCTGTCTATCCGTCCGTCCGTCTGTCTGTACACACAATGTTGTTTGCCCTATTTCCCCTAAAGGATATCACTGATTTCAATGATACTTGGTACACAGAACCCTTACATAGGGGGATGTGAATAAAGTATTTCCAAAGTAGTAACCTCCCCTATTTATTAAGTTATTTCCCTTTGTTGAAAAACATTGTTTGCACTCCTCCTCCTTAAGTGCTTCACCGATTTGAATGATACTTTGTAAACATAATGCTATTATTAAAGGGCTGTGAATAAATCATAAAGAATAGAGCTATCTCCCCTAATTATGGAGTTATGTCCTTTTGTTATTGTGGTGGTACTACGCCTTCTTAACTACTGATGCAATTTGAATAGTACTTGTAGTAATGCCCCTTTACTTATAGATACTCTGGAAAGAAATTTTGTTAAGTTCTTGGCAAGTTATTATTGTTCTCCTGCCTTAAAATTTGTCCGACACATTTCTCGAAAACTATTGGACAGAAATTAATGAAACTTAACACAAGTGTTCATCATGGTACGGGTGTGTGCAAATGACCTTTCAATTTTCGATCGGTCAACAAAAACTAGTTCTAGACTCTTCAAAAATGTTAAGTTCCTATGAGGATATTAATGTTTCTCATTTCATCGTCGGAGATTAACCATCCTACCTACAAATAAGAAAAAGGGATTGTGATTCAAGGATTTCAACTTAATAATTATGTGGTTTACTTCTGTGTGAAGTGTGCTGTGACCTAACGGTGTTATGTATGTGGCTTGCTATTGACATAGACTTATTAATTAGTGACTAAAGCTACATATATATTCAACACTGCTTACCTGTATATACTCCATTCTACCCAGCACTGCTTTCCTTTATGTCCCACCCTGTAGATATATATGGCATAAGAGTATACCCAGTCTCTACTAATACTGTACAGCTGATCCACTCACACCAACATGCAATATAAGGATAACCTACGTACCCTGGCATTCCAGCTAGGGGTGCTCCTACGTATACTATAGGAGGAAACTTTAAATACAAGACAAGATGGCCGCCACGGTCTCTGTTTGATCGAAAATAGATATTGGTCGATTTTCCTCAAATTTGGAATTTAGGTGTATTTTTTCACTGCAAACATAGCTGCGGGGGTTTGGGAGACTTCTGTTATGGTCCCCCATTACAGTTAGTACTTGTTATCATTATTCTTCCTCTTCTTCTCCCGCCTTGACATTTT